GTGAAAAACATGAGAAGAAACGTATTTCGCGTTAATCAGGTTGTTTTTGAAAATCTGTGCACGAAATAAAGCTGCTCTTAATTTTCATTGATGACTGCAGTATTAATAATTTAAATTATAGGCCTATAATTCATTATATAAATTAATAGACCTGTTTTAAAAAAACGTTTTAAAAACATTTTCAATAAGGAGTAAGCTAATAGCCTATACTTTAATTATCCTCACAGCGCGTCATGCGGTGATGCATGTAATTTAATAATAAAAGTAACCTAATAATAAGGCCTAATAATAATAAGAATGTAACAGGCCCACATTAATTGGAAATGCTAAATCCTCTTAATATTGCCAATTTTTGATGCTTTTGACAATATCTCTGGCTATCGTCGACACATGATACAACGCAACTCAACACGGGGAGGTTATCGCGGGGCCCCCCCGCAGTGCATGCCAGTCCGCTATGCCACTGTATGGAAATAGTTGTATGAATTGTCGGCACTTTATCCATTGTAAAAAATTGTTAGAATTTACCATACCATGTTTTCCTGACAGTTGGCATTGAGAGTGACTGACACCTGATGGTCAGAAAAAATGACTTAATAGATATGTGTAAAAAAATAAAAAATAAATAAAATAAAATAAAACAATAAAAAAAGAAAAAAAAATCCCTACTTCCTCTCTTTTCTATGTGCGTTCATACATTTTATTAATTTGTAAGTGTCATATTTGAAGTTGGCATTAGAAGTTATATTACTAATAACAGTGGCATATGAGAAGTTTAATAGCACAGAAAAAAAATTAAATTTGCCTTTTTCGAAGCTGCTGTATATAAAAAACACAAGGTGGCTGAATTTGCATGCTATTTAGATAGCTGAAGCTTAGGCGTTCATTACTTTCTCTCAATATAATGAGTTTTTGCACCCCCTCTGAACTAAGCCCCGTATATTTTCTTATGTTTTCATGGTAACCAATAAGCAAGATCGAGCTAACATACAAAACCAGATATCTCCAAATACATTCCCACTAGTTCTTTATGAAGTTGAAGATATCTTCAATTGAACAGGTAGTAGTTATTCTGTTTTTGATTTCATCTATTAATTTCGAAGCAGCTGTATATAAAAAACACAAGGTGGCTGCATTTGCATTCTATTTAGATTGCTGAAGCTTATAGGCGTTCATTACTTTCACTCAATTTAATTCGTTTTTTAGCACCCCCTCTGAACTGTTAAGCCCCCCTTAGCACCCCCATCAAAAACATCCCGGAGCTGCCACTGGATACTAGTACTTATTCCAATAGTGACTAGTATTCAATTGTACTTGTTAAGAAAAAAATTGAATTAGTACTTATTTTTAGATACTACACTAGTAACTTTTTAGACTAAAGATGTCCTGAACTTAATAGATAGTACTTTTTAAATGTGCATTTCTGATCAGTTTGCTAATAGTATGTTGAATATTAATGAACCAACTACATATGAGAAAGAGAGATTAGACAGGAAACGTAAATAGCCCAAGGATATGGAAGCTAGAAGATTATGAGAAGGGATGAGAAAGAAGGTGCAACATGGCAGAGGCAGTTAAATTTGCAGAAAATGCAGCTATGTTGAAAGATCATTAAGCCAGGGAAATTTTGGAAGCGCACAGCTGATGGCCATGATTCGTCATTATTAAACTTGAGAAGAAACCTTCGTTTATTGTAAGGAATTATAAATACTCTCCAACAAGGCACAATCTCTTGAGGCGGATGTTGTGGTTGTTTGGCTGGTGTGCACAAACTGGTTTTTGGGTCTAACTGCCAATAATCAAATCAAAAAAGTTTTTTTTTTATATTGTCAAAACAATGAATATCATATAACATATTAAACATACAGTGGGTACGGAAAGTATTCAGACCCCCTTAAATTTTTCACTCTTTGTTATATTGCAGCCATTTGCTAAAATCATTTAAGTTAATTTTTTTTCCTCATTAATGTACACACTCAATTGTACTTGTTAAGAAAAAAATTGAATTAGTACTTATTTTTAGATACTACACTAGTAACTTTTTAGACTAAAGATGTCCTGAACTTAATAGATAGTACTTTTTAAATGTGCATTTCTGATCAGTTTGCTAATAGTATGTTGAATATTAATGAACCAACTACATATGAGAAAGAGAGATTAGACAGGAAACGTAAATAGCCCAAGGATATGGAAGCTAGAAGATTATGAGAAGGGATGAGAAAGAAGGTGCAACATGGCAGAGGCAGTTAAATTTGCAGAAAATGCAGCTATGTTGAAAGATCATTAAGCCAGGGAAATTTTGGAAGCGCACAGCTGATGGCCATGATTCGTCATTATTAAACTTGAGAAGAAACCTTCGTTTATTGTAAGGAATTATAAATACTCTCCAACAAGGCACAATCTCTTGAGGCGGATGTTGTGGTTGTTTGGCTGGTGTGCACAAACTGGTTTTTGGGTCTAACTGCCAATAATCAAATCAAAAACGTTTTTTTTTTTTATATTGTCAAAGCAATGAATATCATATAACATATTAAACATATATTTTCTTATGTTTTCATGGTAACCAATAAGCAAGATCATCGAGCTAACATACAAAACCAGATATCTCCAAATACATTCCCACTAGTTCTTTATGAAGTTGAAGATATCTTCAATTGAACAGGAAGTAGTTATTCTGTTTTTGATTTCATCTATTAATTTCTGACTAGTAATTATTCCAATAGTGATATTAGTAAACATTCATTAGATACTATACTTATTTATTAGATACTGGTACTTATTCAGTAGATACTAGTACCCATTTAATAGATACTAGTAGTTATTCATAAGGTATTAGTAATTATATATTAGACACTAGCATCTTTTGTAATTATTGCTAGTAAGAATTCTTATCTTACTAGTTATGGAAAGCCGATTTAACATTTATGCATCTTTTAAAAAGGTACTAGTAGCTAAAGATTAAGTACTAGTAGCATGGAAATAGATACTAGTAAGTTTTTTTTTAAAGGATTAAATGTTAAAATGGCAGTAAGGAAGAAAAAAAACCCGAAACAAATTTGAGGGGGGGGGGGGACTCTGCATTTCTAGATATTAGCTCATAATTGTGATATATAAACTACAATTGCTAGAAATAAAGTCAGAATTCTGAAATAAATATTTTACATATAAAATCAAGGATACATTCAGCTTGAGTTTTCCTAGTTTTCTTATGCATAAAATAATGGCTTGAATCAATAAACACACAAAAAAGTAATTCATAGTGTTGCATAAGTTCCACATTTATTTCATATCTGACAATGTGTTGAGTGTACACAAACATTTGACTCATAATTCCAACACTCAGAAAGAGACATTGAACTACTGCCCATTGAAGATGGTACAAACCAGTTACAACTGCATATTACACCATTCACAGCAATCATGTTTATATACAAGGCAAGTAAAACTGAGAGAGAAAAAAAAAACTGAGAAAATATGCTTATGAATGGAGTCTGTGCATAAGAGGAGAATGGAAGCACACAAATATTTGGTGTCGATTATGAGAACTGATTCTTTCATTTTGGGAGATGGTAAAACGAATGCAACGTTTTTAGCCTTGAAACATGATAATGTAATGTTTTATGTAAATTGCTTGTAGAAATGGTACAGGACAGGCTATAACATAAAGAATGCCATTCAGCTCTCTGCATTACTTTCTACAAGGTGCACAGACAAAAACCAAGACAATTCACATTTGCTTGTATGTACTCAAACTAAAAGTGATTCTTTTAACTTTATGTTTTGTAATAATTTAGTTGTCACTCATTTTGAAAATGCACCTGTTATTACTATTAACATATGCACTTGTTTCTAAAAATAGTGGCATTGCTTATATTTTACTCTGAACTGGTTGTGAAAGTGAAGTGACAAATACATACAGAAATTGCAAAAATGTGCATTAACTATTTTTCATAAACAGAGAACCTTCAGGGATTGAGAATCCTTTTAGGATATGTCTTCTGCTTTTACAGAGAAGCAGAACCCCGCTTTTTCATAGAAACAGAAACCCACTTTTCAGCTTTCAACATCCTAAATAACAATATTAGTAACTGAATTTTTGGAATTAGAAATGCAGATCTTTGAGGTTTACTCATAGACAGATCAAGGCTTTCAATAGAGGTTAGTTCAGTGTCAGATTCTTCCTGTACTAAGCATGTGCTGAAGGTTGGCTGGCCTCAGTCATGCTGATATGCCTGAATCTTGCTGGAGGCACCTCAGGTTTGCAAATAGTTGAACTGCGCTCTAAATATGGAAAAGGCTTGTGTTAGGTAACCTGCAGGATCATCCAGTCATCCCAAACCAAATTATAAGCCGCCTGGACTAACTATAATAAGCAATGAAAGTGCATGCATGGTTTCTGCTCAGTGACTGCCTAAGTCCAGGTCTGACCCACAGAACTCCACCTTCTAACAAACGCTTTTGCACTACAAAGTGTCTAAATCATGTGTCTAAATGTATTGTGTTACATGTCTTAGCCTGTTGGATATTTTATATGATTACAATCATTGATTGTACATGGTTCGGAACAATGCTGACAGTAGCGCTTGTTTCTGGAGTCCATGATGATTTTTTTTTTCTGGCTGAATAAATAGGTTTGTTTTGTTCATTTTTAAGTAAAGTCAGTTGAGAAAAAAAATATTTACACCATCTAGATATGCTTAGAAATCTCAAAACCTAGTCAATATGTAGGGCATGTGCAATATGCAAACTAAATATGCAAACTAAAAATGAAACTAACTAAAAACTAACTAACTAAAGCTACTTTTGCCTGCGCACAGAGAGGAACCATGGTACAGATGAGTGGGCCTGAAAGTGGACATTCACCCTGTTAAAGAAGCGCACAGGGATTAAGATGATGGAAATTGTAAAACAAAAACAGAGTAGATGATGCAAGAGGCACAAAATCATCACTCTCTGGGGTGCATGTAGAAAATTCCATCAGTACTGTACATTTGATTTATTCTAACAAACGTCTAAACCTTCCATTTTCCAAGACTGACCACTGCACAAACACTCATTTAGGATTCTGGGCAATGAAGATGAGTTTTCTCTACCTGATCAATCTTGCAAAAAACATTTTTGTTTTCTTAACTAAAACAAGTGAACGTATCTAGTAGAAGCAAAATTCAAGAAATCTACATGTAATAGCAGCTATCCCAGCTATTCACTTCTAACCTCTTCCCCAAATGCTTTTCATTGTGTCGGGGGAAATGAGAGCAGTGCAGTCAGTAAAAGGGAGGTTAGTCAACTCATGATAAAAAAAGTGCCATATGCAGAAATTGCACTGTACTTCTTTAAAAATATTACAGTCTTTGTCAATAAATACATACTGAAATAAATAAAAACGTTAAATAAATACCTAACTAGATAAAAAATAAATTAGACAGATATAAGATAATTTGGGGATACCGATAATTTTTTATATAAAATATTAGACTGGATTATGATACATTTTAGATAAATCTACTGACCAGTACTCCAACAAAAATAGGCCAAATCTTTATAATGGTTCTCATATAGAGATTTGAGAATGCAACCATTTTCCATTGCCAATTTTTTCCTCATGCATCCTGGTTATTTTGAAAACTTTATGCATTTCAAGGCCATACAAGGGAAACATTATAAAGGTATATGAGTATTTATGATGGGTTGTACTGTGTCCAAGAACTGCACTTAAAGAGAGTAAGAGCGTAATATGATGTGATTCATCTACTCCTTGCTAAGAACTGCTTATCATTGATCAATCCTATCTTCCATAGCCAAGAAATGAACAAACATATGGTCTGCTGACTTAAATACTGACCAGTTTTATCGTTTTAAACCCATAGACTTGCAATTCAAGAATAACACAGTAAGGCCATGTGATCCATTTTCCCAGAAACCCAAGATATGGACGCCACTCTTCACAGTAACAAATTCAGATGTGTTTGCATGAGCTGACAGCTTCAGAATTAGAAATTCCCATCACCAGCTTTCTAAAATGTTGCTGAAGACTACATAAGCATACTATCTCTACCCCAATAAAGTAGCTAGCCTGTTCTCTTGGCGCTATAAGTTGAATATTTAGGCCACTGTAGATGCACAACAAAGGGGCCTTTAAGATACAGGTGCACAGTCGGTGCTAGTGTGGCCAGGTGCAGGTACACACATGTAGGAAACAGAGGGTCAGAGAGTTGATTAAGCACAGAAACTGGGGGATCTATCAGTAGATCTATTTACAAGGTTAGTCCTTTGTGTTTTTTGTCCTCAAAGAGTTGTACAGTAGGTATACATGTAGTGGGCTCAAAATCTCATCTGCCCGGCTCTTCTTCTGGACAGTTTAGACCTGATGGGAAGGAGAAAGTCAAATAAATATCGGTATGACAGGTCTTTTAAAGTGAAAGGCTTAGATATCTGCTTTACTGTATACCTGATAGATCCAGCAAGCAGAGGGTTAAAGGCATACAGCCAGTCATGCATCTCCTTGTCATTACTGGCTTGAAGGAGTATCCCACGATGCTCTGTGCATACCGCAAATGTGTAGGGGGTCTGCAGTTAAGACAGAATTTAATTAGTTCAGCCTATAAACAGTCGATTTACTCAAAATGTGTTGCCTTGAAAGAGACTGAAATAAAATAAAATAATAAAAATGTAAAAAGTTTCACATTCAGCATGGCCTGCTGGTCTTCACTGTATTCCACTTGTGCCGAGGACAGGTTAAGAATGGCCCTTTCCACTGTGTCTCTCTCTGTGTTGTAGATGTAGACATAAGGCCGGCGTACCACCACATACCTCTTAACCCAGTCATTACTGTGGGGCTCCAGGAACTGCAAATAACCTTTCTTTGACACAATTGGGCTGTAACAATAAAATAGGGTACAGGTTAGAGTTAACTTCCAAAGATGCAAATTCCTTAAAGGGTTAGTTCACCCAAAAATGAAAATTCTGTCATTAACCCTTTCGCACGTGAGTTTAAAATATTCTAGCTGAGCCCCCAGCGTGAGTTTTTTTTAGGCGACCGTTATTTTAAAATGTATCGCCTTATTGTTTCCATGGCGACGCGTCATGCTTGTCATGTGACACAACGCAGCCACAATAGATCTGTATGACACATGGATCGCTTTTATTTCGTTTTTCCTGTTTTATTCAAAATATTCACAAACATGCTCACTATATTATGAAATATCTGATATTCCGATTCTGAAATATGTGCAATTAAATCTATTTGGTAGTTTAAACACTTTTATATCGACCGTGTTAGTTGATCTATACCGGGTGATGGGCGCCGCCATGTTAGTTCGCACTTGTAGATGTAGACATAAGGCCGGCGTACCACCACATACCTCTTAACCCAGTCATTACTGTGGGGCTCCAGGAACTGCAAATAACCTTTCTTTGACACAATTGGGCTGTAACAATAAAATAGGGTACAGGTTAGAGTTAACTTCCAAAGATGCAAATTCCTTAAAGGGTTAGTTCACCCAAAAATGAAAATTCTGTCATTTCTGGACTTGGGAACATTTCAGTTGCATTGCTGTCTATGGGAGGGTCAGACAGCTCTCAGATTCCATCAACAATATCTTAATTTGTGTTCCAAAAATAAACGAAGGTCTTACGGGTTTGAAACGACATGAGGGTGAGTAATTAATGACAGAATTTTCATGTTTGGGTGAACTAACCCTTTAAATCTCAGAAACTGAATTTCATATTCAGGCAAATGTAACATAAACAGGAATTGCTCATCCTCTGAACAATAAACAATTTGTACGATCTGTACAATTTTTATTTTATTTTTTTTCACCTGACACGGATTTCCTGAATGTCTGGCACAAAAGTGTGGGATCTTGATTTGGACTCTTGAGGAGACTTCTTGCCCTCTGTTTCAGTGTCAGGGATGGGGCTGACAGCACGAGATCGAGGTGTTGGGGGTCTGCACATATGAGCAATAAGAATATAGATGGAACTTTTAGTTAGATAGCGTTTCATTTGGAGCCACTCGATTCACAATGGTCATCTTATAATAATGTTTTCTAATTTGAGTGGTACGGGTAGATTTTCGCGGGAAATTCGAGCATGGCACTGCGTCATTACGTCACTTCAGTAAACATAAAGAAGTTGTCCCGGCTACTAGCTAGGCTATCGCATGTGACTGAGGATCCTGCAGGTGGAGGATCGTTTATAGCCTTTTCTCACAGCAGCTGGAATAATTAAATGTATCATTTTGATGGTGGATTGTAATCCAGAAAGGATTATGTGTTTATGAAACACATGTGAATGAAATTAAATTATATTCCAGTTTTAAATGTGCTTCTGATTACAGATAGCCTGGGATTATACAAGATTTGTATTTTAAAGACAACCAGTTCGAAGGGAGCATAATTTGCTTTGTGGGTTAAAAGAATTTCTTATTGAAATTCGAGTGGCATGACAATTAGAGATTAGACTGTACAGAAATTGAAATCTACTCGCTTATACACACTATACTCATAGTCACGAAATGCTGATGTTGTTAACATTAACAATTTGAGAATAAAGTATAACAATAATAATAATTTGAACGGTTTGATGTGATATGAGCTAACCGATCTTTAGATTCGGCGCACAACCCACGCAAGGAAGATAATTCCGCACACAGCTGCAATTGCAGGTTTTCAAACAGAGATGGCGACAAAGCTTACAGACTGCAGCTTTAAAAACATGTAAAGATTTTTCTTTATGTTAACATATTTATGTTAAAACACTTTCTCCTATCCCACCTTAATATACAGAAACACCTTTAATGTAAGGCATTCATAGGTTGATTCTCAAACTAGCCTGACACATTAGCTTCATCAAAAGCATGAATTTAGGACAGGACTATCTGTTAGTCTGATCAATAGCAGACTAAGGAATGATCAGAAAATCTTTTTAAAAACTGTTGTTTTTGCACTTCCATTTGGTTTGTGTTGCAGATATCACCATTAAAACGTTTTGTTTATTCTTTTAAAACTCAAAACGAAACAGCAGTCACTAAGTACTGACCTGAGTTCAGTGTTGTGGCCGTAGCGTCCCTCCACGAGTGAGGGGCATGTGGAGGACGGGGTGAGGGTGCTTTCTGCACACACTGAGGCCGAGTCTTTCAAAAGAGTTACTGACATCTCGCTTAACTACAAAACATCACAACAGGGTAATCAGTCATTAAACACAGAACACAAACACACACCTTCACAAAAACATTTCTGGAGGTTTCTGCAGCAATAGTAAAAATGCTTATATGTCTTACATTTTCAGAAACCTAAAGGTTTTTAAAGCAGTATATTCTCAGCAGTCTGAGCTCTTAAAATCATCTTATTGTAGCAGTGATAGCTGACAGAAAGAAAAAGGGTAAAATATTCTTAATAGCATATTCACCTTGCTCTCGCTGGCGCTAACACACACATGGCTGTAGTCCCTGTTAAAGGTGTGGTTAAGCAAACGCAAACACTGTTGGGACAAACAGAAAAGGGAATGTTAAATTCAATGACAAGAACCTTTTTCTCATGATTTCCTGAAGTGATCACTGTATAGGAATTATTTTGAACATTACAGCAATTTATAGTATTAGATAAAACTATAATTACCACTATAAAAGTGACAATGGTGATACGAGCTGTAAAAATTTATTTCATATTTTATAAGACCATTCTATTATATTCTATTCATATATAAAATATAATAATTTATATATAATATATTATATATAATACATATAACTAAGCAGGTTAGTCACTGATTTACCTTTGCAGCCAGCTCCTTCTGCCTCTCGTTGGGTGTGTCAGGGCCGGGGCAAGGGTTGTGGCCCAGGCCCAGGTGGGTGGATGGGGAAGAGGACTCGGTTAGATCCTCACTCCCGCAGGACAGCAGCGACTCCTGGCCCAGCAGCAGGGTGGACTCCAGCGCGCTAACACACACATGGCTGTAGTCCCTGTTAAAGGTGTGGTTAAGCAAACGCAAACACTGTTGGGACAAACAGAAAAGGGAATGTTAAATTCAATGACAAGAACCTTTTTCTCATGATTTCCTGAAGTGATCACTGTATAGGAATTATTTTGAACATTACAGCAATTTATAGTATTAGATAAAACTATAATTACCACTATAAAAGTGACAATGGTGATACGAGCTGTAAAAATTTATTTCATATTTTATAAGACCATTCTATTATATTCTATTCATATATTTAATTTCATATAATATATACAATTATAATTTTATAACATTAAATTCTAAATATAATAAAATTAAATAACTATTAAATTTGTAAAAAATATTGTAATAGTAAATATATAAAATATATTAAATTATATATAAAGTAATAATAATAATAATA